GGTGCCCTGGGGGACTGGCGGTGCCACCCTGGGGTCCTGCTGGGGGAGGGCTGGAGGGAGCCGACTCATACTCCCTGATAAAGTAAAAATAGTTGGGGAGGAGGCGCCCAGACGTGCGGGGGGACGCGTCACTTCTCCCAGCCGTTTAAATAATCTCGGCCATATGTGTGTGGGCCCGTCCCTCCCTCCCTCCCTTCCTGCGGTGGTGGTCAGGGGCCGGGCTCCCCCCAGCGGGCACCACTGCGGGCTGGGGCAGGAGGCTGCTGCCTGCTCCTTGCCCCCAAGCCCAGGCGCAGTCTGAGCACCTGCTGTATGCAGAGCCCAGCTCGAGCAGGGGGGCTGGGGGAGGGCAGGCAGCCCTGCTCGGAGGAGATCCAGGCCACTCTCAGTGGGGCGGACACTGGAAGGCCCTTGGGAAGGCCGGGCGGAGGGCAGCGAGGCTGGGGGCAGCCCGCAAGGGGACCGTGAGGTGGCGCCTGGCACAGCAGCATGATTGTCCCCATGCCAGCCACACGGCCTGAGGATTGTGCTTCCTGCACCCCACTCGTGGGAGGAAGGCTGCACATCTGCAGGTGCCCTTCGCGTGCGCACGCGTGTGTGTGTGTGCATGTGTGCGTGTACGCGAGTGCGTACACGCACACATGCCGCTAAGCCCAGGGGGTGTCAGTTTGTGGGTTTTGTTGGAGGATTAAATTGATTTTCCAGCTTTTCCTGGGGAAAGGCTGACATGCTGAGCTGCGCTGGCCTCTTGCCCTGGCGGCCCAATGCTGGGTCACCGTGGTAGCAGGAGAGTGACCCTTACTGCCACACAACCACACGTGGCCGCTGCGCAACCTCTCAGGTGCTCTGTCCTTGGGGTGGGGCCTCGGCATCCTCTGTAGGCTTAGGGAGGAAGAAGTGTGGCCAGAGCAGGGATGCACCTCCACTCCGTGGGGAGACTGAGCCCCAGGAGGCGGGCCTGCTCTGCGGAAGCCACCAGGGCAGGCTGACAGGACCGCGAGCCCTTCGAGTCCTCTCCCACTCCAGGGTGGCACTGTCTGTCTGTCTGCCTGTCCTGGGCTCCACGCACAGTGGCCACGTGCCTTTGGTCTCCTGTCCACCCGTTTGTGTCCAGTGAGTGCTACTAGGGACAGGGTGGGAAGTAGGTCCCCAAGCCCAGTCTCAGATCTCTTCCAGGACCTCGGGCGGGGCCCTGGGGAGCTGCGCTGGGCACTGTTCTCCCTGGCCAGGGTCAGAGGCCAGGTCTGGGTGCAAAAAGGGTGCCAGTAGCTGCTCCTCAGTAGTTGTCAGTCCTGGTCTCCTGGCCCAGGCTTGGGGAGCCTGAGTGCCTGGGTGCAGGCCGTGGCCGAGCCTGGTGTCATGCCCTTCACCACCCTGTGGGCACCCGAGACAGTGGTGCCAGGCCCCAGGCTGGCAGGGTGAGCTCTAGGCCTGGCCCCCACCATGCCCTCAGCCATTCTGGGAGTGGGGTGGGGTGAGATGGGGCCCCTGCTCGGAGTGGTCCAGCCCTTGGCTCTGAGCTCTGTCCTCAGGCCATACCGGTCTTAGGGTGATACAGTTGCCCTGCTATGTCCCGTCTGGAGTGTTGGCTCATGTGGCTGTGGCTATCAGCCTGTATCCACCTGTCCCTGGTGTCACCTTGGTCCCCAGGGCCATGGAGGGGCCTCCCTGGCCACAGCGGATTAGCTGGGTCTGGTCAGCAGAGGATTATGGCCTGAGGCTGCAGAGGGGGTCAGGGAACAGGGGGTCCTCCACCTGTGCCCCTTCCCAGGCCCAGGCCAGGCACCCCCCATGAATAGTGAGGCAGGAGGGGACAAGGGTGGCCACCTGGGGCTTCATGGTGTGAGGCAGGAGCACCCCATTCTGAAGGTAGAGGTGAATGGAGACTTCCTGGTCCATTTTCCACAGCTCAGAGCAGGATGTGTTGGCTGGGTGGTGTGGAGGGACATCTGATGCCCCGGGGGCAGGCGAGAGGGCCGCCACATCTCACCCGGCCTGGGGGACACCAGAGGCCACAGTGTCTCCTGGTACTTGGACCAGTGTCCCAGCTTGGTTCTCTGGGCCTTTGGATCCCCATAGAGGCCTCCAGGACCACACCCCTTCCGTCCCAGAGTAGAATGCACCCTTAATCTAATGGGGAAGAGGGCAGGCTGCCTGCCGACCTCCAGCCAGAAAATGAGGCAGGGCCTCTGGCCAGGGCCCCTAATTGGGTTCTGAGTTTGGCTTTGAGCTGATTACATCTGATCTGGCCGGGTGGGTCCTGCTTCTCTGTGGCCAGGGTTCCTGTTGCCAGGGATACTGGAATGACAGGCATGGGATGACAGGGCATCCTTGTCCCAGTGGTGCTTGACTGGGAGTGTGTGGCCAGCGGTGGGGCCTGGCCAGCAAGGCAGCTGTGGTGGGATCCAGAGTCCTCCCCTCCCACCCAGGGCAGCCCAGCGACTCCTGCAGCCTGCCTGGCGTTCTGGGGCCCTCGCTGGTACATGCGGCTCGTCCCGGGCAGTCACCCGCTCAGGTTGGGGAAGTGGCCCGGGTGCCACCCCAGGCTGGTGGACGCTTCCAGGCTCTGGCCCCGGGGTGAGGGGAGAGTCAGTGTGGGTCTGGGCAGTGGGGTGGAGCCCCAGAGCCCCGGCCAGAGGAGACAGTGCTCAGGCTCAGGGCCCCCACCCGTCTGCTGTGCCACGGGTCACGTGGAACGGGGTCCCTTATCCCAACTGGACAAGTGCCCGGCACTGAGGGCTGTGGTAAAGGAGGGCCCAGCCTGGGCCTGGACTTTGGGGTGCCTATTGCTGCCTCTACCCCACCTGTGGCCCTCTTGCTCCCCCAGGACAGCAGGGAGCCACTCAGAGGTGTCTGGAAGTGTGAGGGACTGCGTAGGCAGCAAGGGCTTGGTCTAGGACAGGGAGAGCCAGGTCCCCCTGGGTGGCAGTGTGCACTGGGGGCAGGCTCTGATGCCCCACCACTGGGGTGAGCTGTAGGCCCAAGTCTGCATCCGTGGGGCCTGGGAGGTCCCCCACTGGGTCTGGTGGCCTGGGCCTTCCTGGGGTGGCTGGCTGCTCTCCTGGCATCTGGGCGTTCCTCTGGCCTAAATCCTCTGGGCAGCTGGGCTGGAGCCAGCGTGCAGGATTAGCACGGGGATTGGTGCGGGTGGGCAGGGTGAGGCTGGCAGCCCCGCCCCCATGCAGCTCTTCCCGTGCTGCAAGGACCCCGAGGGCTGCCGGGCTGCACTGGGGCTGCAGGTGGTGGTCAGGCCAATGCCAGCAGGGCTTGGGGACACCCCAGGGGGAGCCTCAGGGGGGGTCTGGCAGGGAGGAGGACGAGGCAGAGGATAGCAGGGAAACTCCAGGAGCACCTGCACCCAGCACTGTCGCTGCCGTCCCTGCCACCAAGGGCCCTCTGTGGCCTCCAAGAGCCGATGCTTGGCCCTCATACAGCCTTGGCGATGCCTGGCCAACAGCCGTCCACCTCCAGCTGGGGCACAGGAGCAGTGGCCTGCCTGGCCGAGGTGCTGCTCTGGGTTGGAGGGAGCGTGGTGGTGTCACCACGGTGGCAGCTCAGCCCAGCAGGTAAGGGACCAGGGACGCACGAGGCCTGCTGAGGCCAGCCAAGCCTCAGGGGTGGGGTCGTCCGTGCCGCTCAGCCTCCTGCTTCCTGTGTGTCACCAGCATCCAGCAGTGTTGGCTGTTGTGCCCCTCAGCCACTCAGGAGCGTGCCAGGTCTCCAGCCCGAAAGCGGGGCCTGGAGGCCGAACCCCAGCAGACCAGGCCGAGGGTGGCTGTGAGGAGTCTGGGGCATGCTGGGTGGGGGCGGAGCTGAAGCGATGGCCCTGAGGGGGCAGAAGCTGCCCTGGGCGAGTCACTGAGAGTGGTAGGGCTGCACACTGCAGAGGGAAGGGTGTCTTGGGCTCTCGGCGTGCCAGTCCCAGCTCCAGCTGGCAGGGAGGCCTTCTGCAGTGGCCTCCTCTGGGTTCCCTGCCTCAGGCCCCAAGGGCCTGTCTCTGTCCCCCAGTTGTGCCTGGCTGCCACACCTGTGTCCCTATTGCCACATCCCCTGGAGAGTGGCCTCCGTGTCCCTGCCCCACCTGGATCTGCAGCTCCCTCTACTCTTGTAGCAACAGCCTCTTCCAGGAGGCCCAGGGCCGGCACTGCCCATGGCCCTGTGTTGCCCAGCCAGGGCGCCCGCCGTGTGGGCCTTACGGGTTGGATTTCTCTGAGCCCAGATTTCCCAGAAGCAGATGTGTGGGACTGAGCAGGGTGTGACCTGTTGCTGGGCTGGACCAGCTGACCCTGTTGGGATGCCCTGAGCCCCTTCCCCGAGACCTGGGACAGGAGGCTGATAGATGGAGGGGCAGTGTCTTGGGGGAGAGGCGAGTGCACTCTTGCCCCCCATGCCTCAACTCCCCAGTGTGTACCCCCCTCCCCTGTGGCAGCTCTCTGGTGGTCCTGGGAAACAGATGTGTGCGCAGCCAGTGGTGGCATGTGGTGCTAGCAGCTTCCCTGAGAAGTGGAAGGGGAGGTGTGGATGCCCAGTGGCTCGTGTGGAGCAGCAGCCGGACTGGGCATGGGGCTGGTACCTGCCCAGACCCCTCCCTGTACGCCTCACAGCAGCCTCTGCTCCGTGGTTCCCATGAGCCATGGGCTACAGCTCTGTCCAGGGCGCTGGGTGTCCAGTGCTTGGAAATCTGGGAGACAGTGCCCTGGGGGCGGGGTGGAGTGAGGATGGGCCCCTTGAGAGGCCGGCAGTGCAGCCCTGGGACCTCAGGTGGTCTTAGTTCTACGGCTACTGGGGGAGGGGTGGCAAATAACCCTGGGTGTCTGAGTGGGTGGGCAGGGGTGGCCTCAGTGTCCCTGGGGCACGTTTGGTCCGGCTCACACACAGCCCTGTCTGCCCCGTGTCACCCATTCTGTGTCGCCCGTCCTGTGTTGCCTGTCCTGTGTCGTCCACCCTGTGTTGTCGGTCCTGTGTCGCCCGTCCCGTGTTGTCGCCCATCCCGGGTCCAGTGGAGCGCTGCATGAGTGTCATGCAGGAAGGGACACAGATGGTGAAGCTCCGAGGCAGCTCCAAGGGCCTGGTCCGCTTCTACTACCTGGACGAGCATCGTTCCTGCCTGCGCTGGAGGCCCTCGCGCAAGAACGAGAAGGCCAAGAGTGAGTGGCCTGGCGAGGCTCCTGGGCCCCTGGCCGCGGGGTGGGAGAGCTCGGCCCCCTGCCCAGGGACACCCGGCGGGACCCTGGGCCTGCATGGCCCTGGTGAGACCCCCAGAGAAAGAGACCCCAGCTGGGCACACGGGGACAGGACCGCATGTGCCAAGCAGGGCCCAGCAAGCTGCTGCCAAGGGCACTGCCACAGGCCCCCAGAGGGCCACACTGTGGGGCCCGGCAGGCCCCTGGGAGGAGGCCCTGTGGCAGGTGCTCTGGCCAGGGCGCAGCTCGCAGGGTGGCGTTGGTTGACTTGTCGCATCTGGCTGCCTCAGGGTGACCATGCTGGGCTATGGAAGGCAGAAGCGCCCCAGGGGCCCATTGGAGCATCTGCTTTGCGTGGGGGGTCCCACGGGAATGGTGCCACAGAGCCAGTGTTCAGGGGTGACGTGGGCTGCTCCTAGCCTGCCGAGCCATGTGAGATGTGGAGATCCAGGAGTGTGTGGGGCAGAGCACCAGGCTGACCAGAAGCCTGACACCATCTGAGACCCAGTTTAGTGCCAGGAGCCCTCCCAGCCTTGAGGAAGGCCTGTGGGGCAGGAATAGCGTGGGACGGCTGTGTCCCCCATGGCCACACTGCTAGGGACCCAGAGAAAGGCTGGGGCCTGGGATCTGGGCTGAGCTCAGACACTGCCTGCCCATGGCCTGCACAAGGGGGAGGGGCCCCAGGACTGGGCAAAGTGCCTCAGGCTCACGCACTGTACCCTTGACTTTCAAGGGGAGCTCTATGAGCCCCAACTTGTGGCTCCTGAGTGGGAGCTGTCAGCAATCCCCTACCCCACGGCTCCTGTGTCCACAGTGCCAGGCCTACCCTGAAGATGACCGTGGGATCTCCCCACCCCTGGGCACCCACTGCCTTTGGTGGCGTAGAGGTTCGTGGGCTGGAGCCCTGTGGTGCAGTGGCTGCCTGGCTGCCTGGCTGCCTCACTGCCTGGCTTCATGCACACCAGATCCCAAGCCACAGGGGCCGTCCCTTTCCATCTTGGGGTGCACAGGACCCAGTGGGGTCCACAGGACCAGAGCAACTAGGGCAGGGGTCCTCACTTGCTTGGGGCTGATGGGTGCTGCGTAGAGGTTCAGAGGGGCATCTGCTGTGAGCACAGCCTCAGGCTGCTCGGTCCCTGCTGTGGGGACTCTGGGCTGCTGTGGGGACCCTGTCCACCAGAGCCTGTGACCCACGGCCTTCCCGCTGCCCGCAGTCTCCATCGACTCCATCCAGGAGGTGAGCGAGGGGCGGCAGTCGGAGATCTTCCAGCGCTACCCTGATGGTAGCTTCGACCCCAACTGCTGCTTCAGCATCTACTATGGCAGCCACCGCGAGTCGCTGGACCTGGTCTCGCCCAGCGGGGACGAGGCGCGGACCTGGGTCACTGGCCTGCGCTACCTGATAGCCGGCATCAGCGACGAGGACAGCCTGGCCCGTCGCCAGCGCACCAGGGACCAATATCCTTGGGCAGCAGGGGTGGACACAGGCCCTCGGGTGGGGTGCACTGTCCCCTTGCAGCCTCACCCTGGGGAAGGGCACGTGGTGGCCCTGGCTGCAGACAGGGCCACACTGTGGACTTGCGTTAGCCCCTAACTCAGCCCCAAAGTGGCTGAAGCAGACGTTCGATGAGGCCGACAAGAATGGGGACGGCAGCCTGAGCATTGGTGAGGTCCTGCAGCTGCTGCACAAGCTGAACGTGAACCTGCCCCGGCAGCGCGTGAAGCAGATGTTCAGGGTGAGCACGCATGCACGCACACACGCACGCACGAGCTGTGAGGGGCCTGGAGCGGGGCGAGGGGCCTGCAGGTGCAGGCAGGGACCTGGGAGCTCCCTGGCAGGTGGGCAGGGCCCAGGGAAGAAGCCCATTTTCTGGCCCCTGATCCCACGCTCTTAGCAAGGGCCCTGGCAGCGGCTCTCGTCAGCAACCCTGGTGTTAGAAGTTATGAAAACATCCTCCAGCCGCACTGCAGCCTCCATTGTCTGTAATTGGCTCCCTCTCTCCAGAGCCACAGCAGGGGGAGCAGGGCTGCCGTCAGCAGGGTGCGCCCTGGGGCAGGAACGGCTGAGCCAGCAGTCCTGGTCCTCGGGCCGCCATGCCTGCTGGAGCCTGGCAGCGGCTCTGTGAGCACAGCCCAGGCCAGCGGCTGCCACAGGCACGCACGAGCACGCGCACCCTCACACAGGCACGTAGCCTCCCGGCCCGACATCCCTGCTGCCTCTGGCCTTGCAGCTCCTGCCTGCACGCTCAGGCCAAACAGCCGTCATGCTTGGCTGGAGAGAGGAGGCCAGCTGGCTGGGCACTGGGGTCTGGGATGAGGTAGCACATGGGTGCCTCCTTGGCCCTTCCTGAGAGCTCTGGTGGGGGCAGTGGCTGAGCAGAGGTGCAGACAGCTGGTGGCTGGTGTCAGACCCCTTCCCCTGCCTTCTTGGGGCTGGCCTTGCCCGCCGCTGTGCACCTGCAGGGGCACCTCTGCGCTCAGCAGGCCCCTTGCTCTGGGTGCGGCTGCTGCAGGGACCAGGCAGCAGGTGACCCAGGACTCCGCCAGAACAGTCCTGGACCGGAGGCCAAATGCCTACAGGGCCAGAGCGTGAGCTGCAGTTGTAGCTCTAGGGCTCTGCTTGGAGCTCTGTGGTGGTGGCGGCTCTTGCCTGCCCCAACAGGTCCCCTGGGGCCTGGTGCAGTGGGCCTCTGGCCAGCTCCAGTCTCCTTGGATAATTGGCATCTATCGGGCTGTAGTGGGACCTTGACACTGCTCAGGGTGGCCTGGCACTCCCAATCGGAGCTCAGAGCTGCGTCGCAGATGGAGTGGGTTCAACATAATTGCATCAGAGCCAAGACAACACAGAACATGGGCTGGCCAGCACCCTCGCCTCAGGCCTGACCAGCCCAGAGCACCCTGGGGCTGAGAGGCTGGTGTGGCACAGGGCTCAGGAGAGGCGGCACCACGCTGCTGCGAGCCACGTTCAGGAGCTGGCTGGGGTTGCCCTGCCCCTGTGGGCCGTGGTCCTGGCACTTTCCTTCCAGCCAAGAGCAGGCGGAGCCCTGGCCCTGAAGTGCCTTTTCTCTGGAGAGCGACCGCCTGGTGCCCTTGTCACCATGGTGCCCTTTGACCTGCAGTGTGCACTGGCCCGGCCCACCACGAGGCTGGCCTCCACTGTCATGTCAGACGTGCTGTGGTCCCTGATGGTGTCAGCTAAGCCCTGTGTGAGTGGCTCGGGGCCACCCCAGCCATCGTGTGGGAGCATGGCACGGGCCTGGGGCCATCCCCGCCTTCGCCCTGCGGGCCTTTGTGGAGCCGTCCTGTAGACCCTGCAGCGCGCGTGGCCCTGTGGGGAGGGGCCGCTGCATGGAGAGCACGTCCAGCATGTGCCGCCGACTCTGGCACTGGCCTGTGCCCGCCCTTCTGGCCGCTGTCCTGCTCCTCCCTGGGAGGCCCTGGTGTGGTGACCGAGAGCTCACCACTCTGAGGCCCGAGTGCAGGCTGGGAAGAGGACCTCAGGTTCTCCTCAGGGACGTTTTCCACCTTGCGGGCATGGCATCTGCCACTGCTGCGGGCCAAGGACTTGGGCAGTGTCTGTAGACAAAGCCTGGGGACAAGGCAGGGCAGACCTGCCCTTCCGGCACATGGTCAGTGGAGGCAAAGACTGAGGTGGGCAGCCAAGTCCCACGGAGGTGTGGCCGGGTCCCCGGAAGCCCAGAGCCTGGGCAGCTGTGTGCAGCCATCGGGGCTCCCAGCCCCTGCCCGAGCAGTGCCATCCTATGATGTGCGGGACCCCTGCGGGCCATGCTGTGCTGTCAGTGGTGTGATGCACTCCCGGGGTGGGTGTTGGTGTGGGATGGAGTGTGGTGGCTCCAGTGGGGGTGGCACTGGTAATGCCCTGCCAAGAAGAGGGGAGGGTGGTCCTGTGGGGCTTCCCAGGGTCACCCGCAACTGGACAGAAGGGCGGGGGCTTTGTGTGCCCCCAGCACCTGTGGTGGTGGCATGGGCAGTGCCAGGAGAGGGCAGACTGGCGCTGGCTGGCCCAAGGACCCGAGGGTGACCAGAGGCCTCGCCTCACAGGAGGCAGACACGGACGACCGGCAGGGCATGCTGGGCTTCGAGGAGTTCTGTGCCTTCTACAAGGTGATGTCCACGCGCCGGGACCTCTACCTGCTCCTGCTCACCTATAGCAACCACAAGGACCACCTGGACGCCGCCGACCTGCAGCGCTTCCTGGAGGTGGAGCAGAAGGTGCAGCCAGGGGGCGGCCCAGGGTGCGGGAGCGGCGGGCCATGGCGGGCCGTGGCAGGCGTGGAGGCCCTGAGATGGCTTCCATTCCCGCTTCCTTGGCATGGGCCACGGGGGGGGGTGCTGGTTGGGTGGGGAGACCGGTGTTTCTCTCTGAAGGCCCCTCCGTGGCTCTGTCCTTGCCGAGGACACCTTGAGCATCTAGAGTAGGAATCTTGTGGGCCGGGGCTCTGTGGCCTAGGCTTTGCCACAGAGAGTGACGGCTGGACACGCTCATCCGTGCCCCAATTCCCTAGCACAGCCCCAGGAAGCCTGCCCACCCTCGGAGGCCGCGTGCTCCCTGGGCATCGTCCCACCGACCAGGCATCTGGTGTCCTGTGCTCAGGCGTGGGGCTGCCTTCCTGACCGGGGCGGGCTGTGGGCCTGGCACCTGCCTGCGACTCCCCGGGGCCCTGCCTAGCCTCTCACCCGGAGCTGGCACTTGTAAAGGCCCTGTCCGCACCACAGTGGGTGGCACTGGAGGGGGCGCAGCAGGAGAGGCGCCATGGAGATGCTCACGGGGCTGTCCGAGCCTGGCCTGAGGGGCTGCCCCTCCCAGGGGCCGTGCAACAGGTCCCTGACCGTCCTGGAGGCTTCCCTGGGGAGGGGCCTGTATCCCTCTGCCTGTGCAGCTCTGGGCTGGGGCTGGGGTCATGGCTCTGGTGACTGGCGTGCTGTCCGAGTGCTGGCGCGGGAGGCAGGGCTGGATGAAGTTGGGCAGATCTGATTCTTTCTCCCTGGCCTCTGCTGCCAGCTCTTGGGACCCTCTCCCTGCAGTGGCCTGAGCCTGGGCCCAGTTGCCTGGACTCTGGGAGCCCTGGCTCACATTGGCCCTGGGCTCTGACCCATTGGTCCATTCCCTCACCTGTTACCTCCCACCTGTCGCTTCCCACCCTCCCAGATGGCCTTGTTGGTGCCACTGTAGGCTGGCACAGGCTCTGGGGGCTGCTGGGCTTCAGCACTCAGATGGGCTTCTGTGGGGCTCAGTTCTCCCAGGCATCCCCCAGCCAGGACTTGGGGACAACAGGAGGCTCCTGTGCGTCACGGTTCCCTGGGGTGGGGGTATGGCCTCTGCTCACCCAGGGCCCAGGGCATGGCTGTGGCACCCTCCGCACCACACTGGGTGCCCAGCTGGCAAGGCAGAGACCGTCTCCCTGCCGGATGACGTGGGTAGTCTGTGCCGCTGGCCTCAAATGTCACCCTGCTGTGGTCAGCTGATGTGGCGATGAGACACAGGGGCAGCAGGCAGCTTCATGACAGTGTGGGGAGCTGCGTAAGGGGCCCGGCACACGCTCATGCCCTTGACCCGGCCCAGATGCAGGGTGTGACGCTCGAGGGCTGTCGCGGCATCATTGAGCAGTTCGAGCCCTGCCCGGAAAACAAGAGCAAGGGCGTGCTGGGTATTGACGGTGAGCGGCTGGGCACAGCAGCCTACGGGTGGGACAGGTGGCCTCCGGCCCTGAGCAGGGCTGACACCCGGAACCATGCTAACCCCAGGCTTCACCAACTACGCTCGGAGCCCTGCAGGCGACATCTTCAACCCCGAGCACCACGGAGTGCACCAGGACATGACGCAGCCCCTGAGCCACTACTTCATCACCTCGTCCCACAACACCTACCTCGTGGGGGACCAACTCACGTCGCAGTCGCGGGCGGACATGTACGCCCGGGTCCTGCAGGCCGGCTGCCGCTGTGTGGAGGGTAAGCCTCCCTGGGGAGCCTCCTGGGGTGTCCCTGGCCAAGAGCTCAGCTGGCTGTGCCCCTGGCTGACTGGGTCTGTGTCTGCAGTGGACTGCTGGGACGGGCCTGACGGGGAGCCCATTGTCCACCACGGCTACACGCTGACCTCCAAGATCCTCTTCAAAGATGTCATTGAAACCATCAACAAATATGCCTTCCTCAAGAATGAGTGAGTGGCTGGCTGCAGGTTGGGCAGGCCATGGGCTCGCGGCTGCCTCTTTGCACCCACACCCGTGTCCTTTGTGGGGGGCAGTGGCTGCAGTGGACAAGGAGTGGGCTTTACTCCTGGGGTTCCTTTGAGGAGCAGGTCAAGGAGGGATGGGTCACAGGGCCAGGAGTGGGGTGTGGACGCAGTGGCCAGGCTGAGACCCCAGGGCACATGTGGCCACGTTCTGGTCTCAGGCGTGGTGACCCTGGTGTCAGCAGAAGGCCATGGTGGCCCCAGAGCTAATTGGCCCCGGGAAGCCACTCCATCCAGACTCATGTGCTATCATTCAGCGGGAGCCACAGATGCCATTCAGGAAAATCCAATTTAGTTTCTGGAAATAGAAGGCTGCCTCCTCTCTGCTGGCGTCGCCTCGAGTCCCGGCCAAGCAAGACCGGCGGGGGAGGGAGCTACTCGAGTGATTGACTTAGGAGATGGAAAAGGCCCCCGCCTGCGCCCAGGTTGACTGTGTGTGCCGGGGCAGGGCAGCGAGTCGCTGCGAGTGCCGGGTGGCACAGCAGGGACCCTGCGCGCTCTTCGGCCCTGGGGTCCCACCAGGAGCCCGCAGGGGCTGTGGATCCCAGGCACCAGCTTTGGCCCAGCTTTTCCCCTGGCCTGCGAGGAGCACAGCTGCCACCTGCGCGGGTCCTCCCTCGCTCTGCACGGCACACGGCTGTCCGTCTCTGCCGTGGCTCGTGCCCTCTTGGTCTGGGTCACCCACGTTTTCTAAAAGGATGAAGGCTGCCTTTTGGTAAAAATCCAAGTGGAACATGCATATGGTTAGAAATGGCACTGAAGGGCTTATGTGGCGCCAGCCACTTCCTCCTCCTGCTCTGCAGCCACCTCCCTTTCCCTCAGGTGGGACCTCTGGCTCTGTCCCCCTCTCTGTGGCCATGCGCAGCCAGGCCCAGGCCCAGGATCTGGGTCACAGGGATTGCGTTCTCAGTCTGCTTGCTGCCACTTTTCGACTGAAACTGTTCCTGTCAATTTTCCTGGATTTTCTAATTATCTTTTTTTAAAACTGGGAAAAACGTTGATGTCTTCTTTCTTTGTCCTTAAGACGTCCTGGCTCCCTTCCTACCCCGCTCCCAGGCCTCTGAGAGCCTCCTCTTGGAGCTGTCCCAGTAGGGCGAAGTCCCACCCCTCCCGCGGCAGCACAGCGACCGACGGCCTGCGCCTGAGCCTGTCCTTGTGGCTGTGGGCCGCAGGTACCCGGTGATCCTGTCCATCGAGAACCACTGCTGCGTGGCCCAGCAGAAGAAGATGGCCCAGTACCTGAGCGACATTCTTGGGGACAAGCTGGACCTTTCGGCCTTGAGCAGCGAGGACGCCACCATGCTCCCGTCTCCCCAGATGCTCAGGGGCAAGGTGCTGGTCAAGGTGAGGCCCTGTGGCCGGCTGGGCCCGGTCAGCCGCGCGCTCCCGGCCCGTCCCGCAGCTCTGCCCCCGCTCTCTGCTCCTCCCAGGGGAAGAAGCTCCCGGCCAACATCAGCGAGGACGCAGAGGAAGGCGAGGTGTCTGACGAGGACAGTGCCGACGAGATTGACGAGGACTGCAAGCTGCTCAACGGGGATGTGAGTGTGGGGGTCCAGAGGGGAGCAGGGAGGCCCAGGGCTGCCTTGGGGGCTCGTGTGCATGTGGTCGGCAGGAACTGCCCTTGCTCCAGCCACAGCCCACCCACGAGGCTGGCGGCCCCTTTCAGCCCGTTCCTAGCCTGGCTCGGGTGCTGCTCACTGCCTGGGCCCTGTCCTCTGGCTGCTGAGCTCACTGGGGCGTGGGTCCCACTCAGCTCCCACCACGACTTCTTTTGCCAGCCTTTGCTCAGAATATCCCGGATTCCTGCCAGGTCCGGGCCAGCCCAGCCCACCCTGGGGGCTGGTGGTCCTGTCCAGCGGAGCCCGGCCCAGCCTCAGCCCCGTGCGAAGCTGCACCAGCCCTGGCCAAGAGCGCTTCCTGGGCTGGCCTCCCCATGGCCCCTGTGGAGGGAGGGAGGCTGCTGGCTCGAGGACCCTCAGTGCGAAGGGGTAGGGGCAGTGGCTGTGGAAGAAGTGGCTGTGGAAGTGGCTTCTCGCCACTGGTGTTGCTCTGAGTTGCTGCTGCTGCTGCTAGGAGGCAACGAAGCTTATTTCTCCCTGAGGGGCCATTGGATGGGAAAATAATTGTGCAGTCTTCCCGGCCAGGCTGGCTAATTGTTTTAGAAAGAACTGAGACAGCAGAAATCTTCCTGTGCCGGGTGTGCTCACGCATGCCTCTGCCTGGCCCCTTGCTGAAGAACTCAGGACTGTGGGTCTGCTTAGCCCTCACTGCAGCCCAGGCGCAGGCTCCTCCAGCGTGTGCCCTGACCCCTACCCATCTTCCTGGGCGTGTGGTGGCAGTAGTGGGGCCCTGGTGCTGTGCTGCCACTGGGCATGCTGACTCCTGGAGGCCCCTGGCCTGCAGCAGTGAAGGGACCAGAGGGGCCTGGACCCAAGTGCTGCTGTCAGCCGCCAGCCACCCCGGGGCAGGTCAAGCCCCAGAGCTGGAGCTGGTAGTGTGTGTGTGTGTGTGTGTGTGTGTGCGCGCGCGCGCTGGTCCCGGGGCTGTCACCTGCTGCTGCTCCTGGGGCTGGGACGGGCGCTGAGGCTTGGCCTCTGGCTGCTGTCCTGCAGGCCTCTACCAACAGGAAGCGTGTGGAGAACATTGCCAAGAAGAAACTGGATTCTCTAATCAAGGAGTCAAAGATCCGCGACTGTGAAGACCCCAACAACTTCACAGTTGCCACCATGTCCCCGTCAGGGAAACTTGGGCACAGAGCAGACGCCAAGAAGGTGAGGCCCCCGGGGACGTGGCCCCCACGCGCAGCCTGCATGCCGACACAGGTGCCCCTGTGTACACGCTGGCCCCCTGCCTGCTGGAGGGGTGTTGGCCCTTGGCACAGTCACCTCGAGGACATGAGATTCCCTCAGAGAGACCCCAGAAGGAGGGCAATGTTTGGGGAGATAGGGCCTCACCTGGAGTGCTGACTTCCAGGACACGGGGCGTCACTGGGGACCTCCGTGAGGACAGTCCAGCTGGGCCTATTGTGGCTCTGTGCTACAGGATACCCCAGTGCAGCCCTGTCCTCCTAGCTCCAGGGCTGGACTGCTGGGCTGGCTGCCAGCTGCCCACAGCCCCTGTGGTAGCTGAGTGAACCTGTCACCTCTGTGTGGACGCCCTGGGGGTGGTAGCAGGTTCTGGCCTTGCTCTGTGGGCTGTGAGTGGCCACATGTTCTCCAGGGCCCGTGTGAGCCTTTCCGTAGGCACGGACCGTGGTCCCTCGGGGCTTGGTGATGGCAGCATTTTGGGCAGTGCCACCACTCCCTCCCAGCTGTGGGCACTGTGTCCTCGCCTCCCTGGACAGTCACCCCTGAGCAGAGAGGAGAGGGAAGCGCGCAGAGGCCATGTGAGAGGGGCGGCCCTTTGGGCCCCGGTCAGCTGGGCCAGTCCTGGCTCCCAGGGGTGCAGGTGGTGGGCAGGGCTCCGGCTGGTGGTAGCAACTTCAGAGCAGGTCTGCGGGACTCACCTGGCCTGCTGTGTGGAGCAGGAGCTGCCTGTGCTCAGCTCCAGCAGAGCAGAGGTCGCAGGAGGCGGTTGGGGCCGTCGCCCAAGGGTGCTGTCGCCAGGAGTGCTGAGCGGCTCCTGGCAGCTCTGGCCATGCACGGTGTGTGCGTGGGCTTGTGAGGATGTGTTGTGTGTGCAGACGTGCCTGTGCTGTGTGCAGGGCGTGCGTGATGTTCACCTGAGTGTCCACAGTGTGTGCAGGAACGTGCCTAGGCACACTACGTCCGGCATGTGTGCGAGGTATGTGGTCTACGCAGGGGCGTCTGCAGCGTGCCCATGACGTGTTCAGGCGTGCACGCAGGCATCCTCCCAGGCATGTAGCCAGGGCCTGTGTGCGCCCGCCTCTGGCGGAGGCTGCTCTGGGCTTTTTGTTCGTCTGCTTTTGAGGCAGGGTCTCGCGGAGCTTCTCAGGCCGGCCTTGAGCTCACTTTTAGCCCAGGCTGGGCTCACACTCACAGCTTCTCTTACCTCAGGCTCTCGATTTTCTTTTTCCACTTCGGCAGCTGCTCTCTGGCTGAGGCTCTGCCACCACTGGCGGCCTCTTACATGTGATGGGAGCTGCCCCTCCTGGGACCAGGTGGTGGAGTGCTGGGCGCCTCCTGGGAAGGCCGGGCCAAGCTGGGGGCACCTGTGAACGGTGGGGGGCGGGGGGGCGGGGGCCCGGCAGCAGCCCAGGGTGGACGAGCTAAGGGCAGCCTGGCAGGTGACGGAGGGCACAGCGCCCAGGGGCCAGGGAGGTGGGGAGAGCTGTGTGATTCTGGAGCGCTGAGCCCAGCTCCACACCTTGTTGTGGAAGGCCCATCTTGTACCTCTGAGGTCCGGGTCACAGCCCACGCTGGGTCCAGGACCTGGTGTTATGGGGGACCGGGTGACCCCTCCACTGGGCAAGAAGCAGCCAGGCCTCCTGGTGGCAGGGTCCCGAGAAATCAGACCGGACTGGGAGTGACCTGGACTCTGGCAATGTTCGGTTCAGTGTCTCTCCAAGGGACAGCAAGCCAGCAGGGAGTGGGGCAGAGCCCGTGGGGAGGAGTCTGCTGCTTCTGGGGGAGCTGGGCGCAAGCTGCACCTCTAGGGAGGCCTTGGGCTGTGGGGGCAGCCACGTCACCATCACCTCTGTCTCCCCTGGGCAGAGCAAAGCCGAAGAGGATGTGGAATCTGGGGAGGATGCCGGGGCCAGCAGTCGCAGCAGCCGCCTTCTCATGAGCAGTTTCACCAAGCGCAAGGTCCAGCCCCGCTCCCACACTGGGGGCCCTGTGCAGGACCCCGCCGAGCCCACCTTCCTCCCTGCACCAGGCACTAGCAGGCTCTGGGGCCAGAAGCCCACTGTCAATGTCTTGACAGCCCTCTCTGGCCTGGCCAGTGTCCAGGCTCAGACACTCTGTGGCTGCCCCAAGTTGCCAGGGTGCAGGCAGAGCTGAGCATCTGGGTGGGAAGGGCTTGGTGGGTTGTGTGGGCTGCCGGGAGCCAGAGGGCCCAGCCCGGTGGGTGAAGGCCTGCAGGTCACAGCTCTGTCCTCCGGCACAGAGAAAGGGCAACAAGCTAAAGAAGGTGGCCAGCATGGAGGAAGGGGACGAGGACCCAGACTCACCAGGAAGCCAGAGCCGAGGGTCAGTGCCCTGCAAGGGGCAGGGGCGTCACCCTGGGCTGTCCCTGGATGCCAGGCAGGACCTCAAGGCAGCAGTGGGAAGGAAGCTGTTGTCCCAGTGACAACCATGGTGGGGTGTGCGGGTGGGCATGGGCAGCACTGCAGGCTGGATGCGAGGACAAGGCCGGCCAGGGCAGCAGTCCCACGGCCCCAGGGTTCCCAGGCCGCCGCTGCTCAGCACCAGGTCCCGGTGCCCCTCACCCCTTCCTGGGCCTGGTGATGATGGCTCCATGCAGCATGGGGTTGGTGCTGGTCCCTGGACCCTGCTTCTGGGGTTTTGTGGCGGCCTCCTCTGCCCATGCCTGTGTCTCTCCTTCCTGTCTCTCCTCCCTCACAAGCTCTCTCTGCCTGTGCCTACTCCCTGTCCTGTCCCTCCCACTGTCACCAGCCCTCTCTTGCACCTATACACAGCTGGGGCCCCGTGGTCACTGCCCGGCCTCCTCTGCTCAGGGCCTTTCAGAGCCTCGTCCCCATAGGCTCGGGATTCTCAGTGTCTTTGCACTGGCTGGCACCCTACGGGGCCCTTTGCCCAGCCGTGCCATGGCCTGGGTCTGTGCCTGCTGGGGTTGGTATAGTCCTCAAGCCAAGTGGCCTCCATGTGTGCCCTGCTCAGCCCGTGTGGGCATGGAAGGACCCGCCCAGATCCTGGAGTCCCATAGTGGAGCTGGGTGCCGTCGGGCTGGCCCTGAGTGGGAAGGCACCACAAGGCCCCAACCGCCTCTGCCACGCCCCACAGGACGGCCCGGCAGAAGAAGACTGTGAAGCTGTCCCGGGCCCTCTCAGACCTGGTGAAATACACCAAGTCCGTGGGCTCTCACGACGTGGAGACGGAGGGTGAGGGCCACAGGGTGGGCACAGGTGCCCGGAGCAGGGCTGTGCACACCCCGAGACCCAACTCATGCCGTGGTCTGCACCACAGTGGCCTCGAGCTGGCAGGTGTCATCCTTCAGCGAGACCAAGGCCCACCAGATCCTGCAGCAGAAGCCGGCGCAATACCTGCGCTTCAACCAGCGCCAGCTCTCCCGCATCTACCCGTCCTCCTACCGCGTGGACTCGAGCAACTACAACCCGCAGCCCTTCTGGAACGCTGGCTGCCAGATGGGTGCGTGTGGCCAAGGAGGAGCAGGGGGCGCCGTGGCAGCTGGGGCGCAGGGCCTTGTTCCTGGGGTCGCACTGCCTGTGGCTCTGCTAGGCTGGCACCTGACAGGATCCTTGAACCCCAGGCAGCTTGGGAGAGACAGCCCCACTGTCCCACCCCTGCGAGCTGCAGGGCCTACCCACAGCTCGGGGACACGGGCCTGGGACAGTGTGGGGACTGCTGCCGACTCCAGGGCCTTTGTCCCCACCCACAGTTGCCCTCAACTACCAATCGGAGGGGCGGATGCTGCAGCTGAATCGGGCCAAGTTCAGCGCCAACGGCGACTGTGGCTATGTGCTCAAGCCCCCGTGCATGTGCCAGGGTGAGATGTGGGGCTTGTGGGGTGCACCAGCAGCGGGGAAGCCAGGCTGCCACCTGCTGTCCGGATTCTGCAGGGGGGCAGCACCCGCCGCCTCTGGCTGCCTGTGAAGGACCCTGCTCTGCCAGGGCCTCAGGCTAGGAATCAGGGAGCCCTTGCCCAAGCTGGGCCTGTACGAGACGTCTGTGTGGGCAGGGCTGGCGTGAGCGGCCTGGGGTCTGTGGGCTCAGGCCTGATGCCCCAGCCCTGGACTGGACTCCAAAGGCCTCCTTGACCTGTCCCTTGGTTTCTGCCTTGATTCCCTTCTCCCCCTCCTCCCCACCCCATCTCTGTCCTGCGGAGCCATGCCAGCACTTGGCATGTCTGTGGAGTCCTCAGCCTGTGTCAGTGCCTGCTGCCCCACCTCCATGCTGTCCCCAGGCCTGGGTGCGGGCAGGTCCAGTAGCGACCTCCTGGGAAGCTGCCTGCTCTGCTCATGCCTGTGTCCTCTCAGGCTTCTTCAACCCCAACTCCGAGGACCCTCTGCCTGGACAGCTCAAGAAGCAGCTGGCCCTGAGGATCATCAGCGGGCAGCAGCTCCCTAAGCCCCGAGACTCCATGCTGGGTGACCGCGGAGAGGTGGGGCTGGGCCTGCATGGCCGAGTGGGCTGCGGGCCCATGCCACACTCACCCTGGAACCCAATGCCACCCCTTACACCGTCCCCAGATCATCGACCCCTTTGTGGAGGTGGAGGTCATCGGGCTCCCCGTGGACTGCAGCAAGGAGCAGACCCGTGTGGTGGATGACAATGGTAAGCACCCAGTGCCAGCCTGTGTGAAAACGGGCCTGAGCTGCCTGCGGTGTGCCAGGGGCCCCAGCCCACGGCCCCCAGGCCCCTTTCTCTCACAACCTGGGCCACGTCACAGGGCTGCAGCTCGTCCGCACAGCCTGCCTTCTGCTCCAGGGTTCAACCCCATGTGGGAGGAGACGCTGGTGTTCACGGTGCACATGCCTGAGATCGCGCTGGTGCGCTTCCTTGTCTGGGACCATGACCCCATTGGGCGAGACTTCATTGGCCAGAGGACACTGGCTTTCAGCAGCATGATGCCAGGTGGGTGGCCAGGCTGGGAGCTGGCCTGGGGGCTTCTGGTGGGGCCCCAACACACGGAAGTCCCCATCCCTACCAGCCTTGAGGGGGGGCTCACCAACTGGGCGGTGCCTACAGCCTGCAGGGTGCCCCTGGGTGTCTGGAGGGACGGAGCCCCTGTGGGGCTGTCAGTCCTGTTCAGGGCCCTGGGCAGACAGGAGGGGCGGCCTGCTGACCACGTGGCCATGCCCCAGGCTATCGGCATGTGTACCTGGAGGGGATGGAAGAGGCCTCCATCTTTGTGCACGTGGCCATCAGTGACATCAGTGGTAAGGTGAGTGCCACATAGGAAGAAGGCAGTGCCCAGAAACTGTTCCCTCCTCTACCTGAAGAGGGGTTCGAGGGTGCTGACCTCTGTGTCCCTGCCCTGGGAAGCAGCTCTCTGTGTCCCCTCCCTGCCCTCCACCTGCACCTGGCTCAGTCCCCTTTGGTGGCTCTACCTAGGAACGCTGAACACGTGGCTGATGGGGACAGTAACCGTGCCTCCCATGGCCTTCTCCCCCCAGCCTCCATGGCTCCTTCATCTTCCAGAGTTGCCTGGATTTGCCCCCTACCCAGCCCCCACACACTGGCCCCGAGCCAGGCCAGGGCAGGGGTCTCAGCCTATGAGCCAGCAGCTCTTCCAAGTGGGTGGCTTGGGCCCCGCTGGCCTCTCTCCTGCTGTGCCCGTGGGCCTAGAGGCTCTGCAGTGTCCTGCTCTCTGCTGCCGCTGCCGTCCGTCCGTCCGTCCGTCCGTCCACCCTTCCATCTGTGTTCACCTGTCTCCAGGGGCCGTGGGCCCCCTCCCCAGCCTCTGGGGCTGCTCACCGGCCTTCACTCTGTCTCTTTGGTCTTGCAGTGGGCTTCTGTATGTCCAAAGTCTACTTTAGGAAGCGCAGCCCTGTTAGGAATCATGAAGGTACCCGGGCGCCACGGGCCTGTGCAGCCCGTGCCCCTGCATGCCAGGTCGCACTCATTAGCATCCGTGACTCCTGGTAGCATTTTGGAGGTGTCAGTTCATTTGACATGGGTCATGACGTGGTTCTGGGGTGCCCTGGGCCATCCTCAGCCAGAGTGGCATTTATGAGGCCGATCCAGGATTCAGCCGAGGCCACTGCCTCCTGCGCACCATCCTGTGCCCGTCTTCTGCCCTTGGACATCCGCTTTTCTGGCATGAGCTTTGCCCCTGCTTCCTGTCCCGCCTCCTATGTCCCTCCTCTCTATGCCCCCATGCTGTTATTTCTCAGCCTGCTTCCATTTCCCCCCGTCTGTCGGGGCCTGGGCTGGGGGACACCATGGGGCCTGGCACTCCAAGCCTGAATCCTGGACCTCCTTCTAAATGATGTTCCAGCCCACGTCGACCAAATTGCACTGAATTTGGGATCTTGAATCAGGACACTGATTCAAGTGCTGGCCACGTTAGGGCCCTGCCAGAAGGGCCCCATGTGCCAGGCCCTGGGCTGCTCTGTACCAAGTGCAGCCCGTCCGTCCTGGGGAGTAGTGGGTGTTGCAGGGTCTCTGTGGGGTACCGGGGTGCCTGGCATGTGAGGGCCTCTGCTCTGTCCTCGGGTGATGCAGCTGCCTGGGGCTTCCCAGAAGGGACCCTGGCGGGGGCTGCAGGACAACCTGAGCAGAGACCTCTGGCCCAGCTGAAGTGGTGCCACCTGAGTCCAGCACTGAGCCAGCTGGGGGTGTGGGCTCATGCAGGCCAAGAGTAGGGCTGGGCTAGAGGGAGCCGCATGGAATTCAGAAGGGCTCCTGGAGTGGTGTCCCTGCAGGGTCACCAGGAGCAGCCAGGGCAGGGCTGGGCGAGCAGGCCTCAGGTGCACCTGGTTGTGCTTGCTTCCGTGACTGTTGCTGCTGAGGGCTAGGGGATGTGACCTGCAGCGGCCGCCGTGCCCTGCTTGCCTCAAGCCCAAGAGCAGAGCCAGGTGTGGTGGCCAGGGCCAGGGCTGAGGTCCGTCCTTGTGGGGGCCGCGGAGGGGTGACTCCTGCCTCTACCAGAGTTCAGAAGGGCAGGTTGTTAGTCTAAGAGGGGTCCTGCTGTCCCTGGTGTGGCTGTTGGGAGGACCCCGCGGCTAGCATCCTGCACGCTCTCTGGCCACCAGCCCAGTGGCACCTGACGTGGCCACCGACGTGCCCAGTGGGACTCTGAGAATGGGTCCAGGGCTGCAGCCCCAGCTGGGCTGTGTGCCTGGCACCAGCTATATGGGCCCCTTCTTTTGCAGGCCAAGCAGGCTCTGGGCCTAAAAGGTCTCTTCCTCCGCGGCGCAAAGCCAGGCTCCCTGGACAGTCATGTTGCTGGGCAACCCCTGCCCCGGGCCTCCGTTAGCCAGAGGCTTCTCCGGCGCACAGCCAGCGCCCCAACCAAGAGCCAGAAGCCGGGCCGCAAGGGTTTCCCAGAGCTGGTGCTGGGCACACGGGACATGGGCTGTGAGGGGACAGCCAACGATGTGGTACCCCCCGGCCCTGGCCCCACTCTGGAGACCCCAGCCCATGATGGCCTGGGCAGCAGCAACTCCCGAGGTAAGGCACCGGCAGCAGCGCCAGTGGCTGCTGAGCCCAGGAGCCCCGTGCAGCTGCAACCTCCTCGAGGCCGTGAAGGCTCTGGGCCTGCCGGGGTGGCGGCCACGTGCATGAAGTGCGTGGTGAGCTCCTGCACCGGTGTGCACACAGAGGGCCTGTGGAGGGAGCAGCCGCCCAGCCCTGGGCCTGCAGGTGGGCTCATGGCCATCAGCCAACAGCCCCGGGCCTGGGGGGACACTCCGGGGAGCCCCTGTGGCCTGGGCCCTCGAGCCACCCCAGGGAGAAGCGCAGAGGCCTATAAGGGCCCTGGGGCCCAGCGGCAGGGCCCAGGCAGCAGCGGCTCTGTGTCCTTGGACTCCAGCAGCCCAGGCAGCCCCCAAGTGGCCCCCTGCCCGCCTGAGGGTGCCCACAGGCAGCTGGGGGCCCTGCAGGGAGAGATGAATGCCTTGTTCGCTCAAAAGCTGGAGGAGATGAGGAGTAGTTCCCCCATGTTCTCCACGGGTAAGGCCAGCCACTCCTCGGCACCTTGTCCTCCACCCGCCAGGCATGCCTGGGCCTGCGTCCCCTGCTGTGCTCGTGTCTGCTTCTGTGTGCTCCTCAGCCTGTCTGCCCTGGCTCCTGCCCCTCTGCACAAGAGGCCCTGGCACTCTGGGGGGCAGCCCTTGTCCAGCCCGTCCAGGGCTCGCCTTGCTGGGAAGTCTGTTGAAGGCAGTGGTGCAGCCCTAGGGCGTCCCCAGTGTCCTGCAGCCTGGGCTGCTGCTCTAGCCTGATGCCCGGCCTGAGTCTGGAAAGGGCTGAGACTGCTTCCATTATTCCTGGGCCCACGACTCAGCAGCTCCAGCAGACCCTAGCCCTTCTGGTGGACAGCAGGTGGAGGGTGGAGCTGGGGGCCAGACCCCAGCCTGGGCGGGGGGATGTGCCTGAGCCCCGCACTCCGCTCCACACTCCTGCCCGCCTTGCTGTCCGTCTGCCCCTTGTCTAGCCCCACCCCGCTGACCTTGTTCTCCTTTCTGTCCCTGCACCCCGGCTGCCTCGTAGTTAGGGACTGAGAGCCGCAAGTGCCAGGTAATGGCCCGGCACCCCGTGCCCCGCTTCGCCCCAGACCCCACAGACCTTGTGAGTGGGAACAGGGCCTGGGCACTGTGTCTGTCCATGCCCTGGCCCTAGTGGCAGTGGGAGGGGGGTACACTGAGTGTGCCATATTACCTAGGAGCAAACGAAGAGGCCTGACCACTGGGGTCCTGGGGAGCCCTGTGCAGGGTCGCCCTTTGCAGGGCCCCCTCTGACCTGGCCCTCCCTCCCTGCCTTGCATCTTTGACTGTTTTTCCCCCCTGCCCTGTCTGTCCCTCTCTCTGCCCTGCCTCCTTCCCCTCTCTCCCTGCAGATGCCCGCCCCTTCTCTACTACGCAGCGATCCATCTCCCCACTGTGCAGCCTGGAGCCCATCGCGGAAGAGCCGGCCCTGGGCCCTGGTGCCCCTGCCCTGGCGGCCACCCCCACCAGCCCTCCCAGGGGGCGGCCCCAGTCCTCCCCTCAGACAGTTCGGGTACCTCCTGGGCCCCTCCAGCTCAGGACTAGGGGCCAAGGGGACAATGAAAAGGCTCCCATAAAGCTGCTCAATAGTGGGAGCCCTGGTGAGGCATGTGATGGGACCACTGGTAGCCAGCCAGCCGGCAGGAGCCAGCCTCGAGCCCTGGGCCTTCTGCCTGGGGTCAGAAGGGCCAAGAGTGAGGGCCAGGTGCCCTTGGAGTCCCCAGGCATATGGCAGCAGCTGGCAGGGCCATCACCCACCCCTGCCATCTACTCGGATGCCACAGGCAGTGACCGGATATGGCAGAGGCTGGAGCCAGGTAGCCACCGAGACAGTGTGTCCTCGTCTTCCAGCATGTCCTCCAGTGACACTGTCATTGACCTCTCCTTGACGAGCCTGGGCCTGGGCCGCAGCCGCGAAAGCCTGGCTGGGAACCCCCTGGGCCGCCTGCCCCCTCGCCCCTGCTCGGCCTCCACTGTCCGCCCAGACCGGCCACCTGTGACCAAGAGCAAGTCGAATCCCAACCTGCGGGCTGCAGGCCAGCCGCCTCCTGCGTCTGATGCCCTGCGGCCCCGGCCATTGGCCCCTCGGCTGCCTGGCCCACGCCCCCGGCCCTCCTGGGGAGGTCTTGCCCTGGTGGGCCTGCAGGACTGCCCAGTAGCTGCCAAGTCGAAAAGCCTGGGGGACCTGACAGCGGACGATTTCACCCCCAGCTTTGAGGGGGGCTCCCACAGCCTGGGCCGGAGCCTGGGCCCTCCAGGCAGGGTGCGGCGGGACGCCTTGACGGAGCAGCTGCGCTGGCTCACTGGCTTCCAGCAGGCCGGGGACATCACGTCACCCACCAGCCTGGGTCCAGCTGGGGAAGGGGGCCCGGGGGGCCCCAGCTTCCTGCGGCGCTCCTCCTCCCGAAGTCAGAGCCGTGTGCGTGCCATTGCCAGCCGGGCCCGCCAGGCACAGGAGCGCCAGCAGCGGCTTCGGGGCCTGGACCCAAGGGCCCCCCCAGAGGAGGAGCGGGGTACTCCCGAAGGTGCCTGCTCTGTGGGCCGCGAGGTTTGCATGGATGCCACAGGCCTCCCCAAGGGTGCCCCGGAGCAGGTGCCTGGAGCTGCTGACAGCCTGCTCCTGCTGAGGCTCTGAGCCGTGAACCATGCTGCCTGTCTCCCAGGACCCAGACCACGGCTGGGGAGCCAGCATCCAGCCCAGGCCCAGGCTCTCCTGCTGCAGCCCTGCGGAAGCCCAGGGTGTGTACAGACAACTCAGCACCCAGGCACTGCCCTGTCCTCCCTGGTGTCTGGCCCTTGGTGTGCGTGGCAAACCTGTCCCCAGGATGCCTGGCACTGCCCCACCCCCGCCCCACCCCCGTGTGCGCCTTCTGGTCACCCATCCTGTCGGGGCATCCTGAGGACTGTAAGCTGTCGGACACAGCTCCAATAAACATGTTCATACCTGCTCCCTCGCCCTTCCGGGACACTCGAGGCAGCCCGCACACCGTCCCCAGGACTTGGTGGCAGCTCGACAGCAGACCTGGCTCTGCCATGGGAAGGCTGGGTGCCGGCTGGGCGGGGAGGCTGCACTGGGCCTTTCCAGGACAGCTGGGGGGAGCCCCGCTACACGTGAGGCCTCAGTCCCCACTGCCTGCAAGGACTGCAGTCTGTCGCTCACCAGGGCTCAGGTAGAAGCACTGCCCTCTGGGGCCAGGGTGCGGGGACATGGCAACTGGCCCGGTGCAGGCCTCCTAAGAGGGCAGCTGAGGGCAGACCGGGGCCAGTGCCTGTCACCTGCCCCACCCGTGGCCTGGCTGGGGTCCGCTGCGTGGGCTACCTGCCTCCAGGAAGCTGGGGCAGATGTGCAGAGGTGGGGTAGGCTACTGGCCCGCCACCTGGGGACAGTGATACTGCTGTACCTGCAGTGGCTTCTTCCTGCAACTCTGGGAGAAGGCAGGCAGGCAAAGGCAACGGTGGCCTGGAGGACACGAAGGACACGTGGCTCCTGTGCCAGGGGCAGAGGCACGCACTACAGTATGCGCAGGCCGGCCTGAGCCTGCAGCCCTTGTCCCAGTTGTCCCTGCCCCATGAACCTGAGGACACCCAAGAACCACTGTGAAGTTCAGCCTGGCCTGCAGCCCACATGAGCCAGGCAGGGCGGCTCTGCAGTGGGGCTGTCTCCCCAGTGGATGGGCTGCAGGCACGAGACATCAGGAGGCCCTACAGAACCCGCGGGCATCCCATCAGCATGGGCCCAGAAGCCCTGGACACTGACTTGATGACAAGAACTGTGGCCCAACCAGCAGCAGAGGGCTCTGCGCTGGGGTCACGGGAGAGGAGCTACCTCAAAGCAGGCGAGGCTGCCACCGGGGCTGCCCAGCGTGGACCTGCTGCTCCCTGGTGGGGCCTCCAAGGGAACTGGACAGGGGGAAGCAGACACTGGCCCCAGGCCGAGGGGCTGGGTGAGGCTGGAAGACACTGGGCCCTCTGGGCTCCGACTGCACCCCGGCAGGCTGCAGGTCCTGCGCTGGGGCCTGGTGGAAAGTGAGGGCCAAGTGGCAGCCACTGCTGCACAGGCGAGCTCAGCTGGCCCTGCTTCACCCGACAGCCCTGCAGTTCTCAGCACAGGCGTGGTGGGCTGGCAGTGGCCTGGTGCCGTCCCATGCACACACAGCTGGGCTCCAGTGTTCGTGGAGGGCGTGGACGCAGGGTGCTGAACACAGCCCCACGTCTCCACCTGCGGACAGGGTACCTGCCTGCAGATCTTACAGGACCCCAAGGCCATGCTCAAGGCCACGGTGGCAAAACCCACACTGCAGCTCCGAGCCAGCGACAGCTCTAAGGGCCCTCATCTCAGCCTCTTCTCTGTGGCTCTCGAGCCAGAAGTGCTGCTCAGAACCTTGCCCTCCCCAGAGCCCTGGGGATGGGCTGAGGACAAGGAGACAGTACACAGCTGAGCACGCTGGGCCCCCAGGCCAGGAGGAGGCTGGGGACTTGGGAGCAGGCCTGGCGCCTAGCAGAGCCCCGCAGGAGGCCAGAAGATAGTTCCTGAGGTCAGGTTCCGAGCCCTGTGGCCGCTGGCAGCTGAGCCCACAGCGTTAGGCAGGCATATACACTGGCAGACTCTCGTTATGTCCCTATACATTTATATATATATATATATGTGTGTGTGTGTGCGCGCGCGAGTGTGTACAAAAGATTATTTGACAGATCAACACATTCCAACACACGAGTCTCGCACGACAGCTCTGCGCTGGGGCCCGGTGCGTGCTGCTGGCGGTCACCAGCACGGTGGAAACGCCCTTGGGTGGACGAAGGCTCCTCGCTGAGGAAGACACAGTCCTGGCAGGGACAACAGAGGCCGGTGGGCCTCACTCGGCCGGAACCTCGTACTTGAAGATGACGCTGAAGAGCGGGCCGCCCAGCCGCTCGGCCAGCCAGGCGTTCTTGAGCACGGCCAGCTTGAGGCTCTCACAGCGCAGAGCCGCGTAGTAGTTGGTGTGCACGGCCCGGCCCATGCCCTCGATGACCACCAGGTCGGCACCGCGCTCCCGCACCAGCACGGCCAGCCCCTTGTCCAGGCGGCTTGGGGAGGGAAGAGGGCCGAGGTTGGCAGGATGCAGCGGTCCCAACCGTCTGTGTCTAGCGCCCCCTAGCGACTTCCTCCCCACGGGGCCCAAGTCCAAGCAGGGACAGGCTGGGTTACCTGAGGTCAAGGCACGGGGAGCTGGAGCCCGTCTGCACCAGCAGCAGCCTCTCCTCTTGAAGCGCAGAGCTGTGGGACGTGAGGCGGTCAGCACCCTGCAAGGGGCGCCCTGTGGACCCCCCAGGTGCCACTCCCAGGACCCACCGGGCGGCCCATCCCCAGCACCTACTGGACGACGGGGTCCATGGCTGCGATGCGCTCGGCCACAATGAGAGACTCGCTGTAGGTCACGTCGTTCAGGGCAGGGCCCGAGTTGCATGCCAGGATGACCTGCAGGGGAGATGGCTCAGGCCCTGGCCTCTGCCCGCTGGGGACCAGCAGGCAGGCCCTGTGGGGCCCCAGGGAAGCGCGGAGGCCAGGGCCAGCCGAGCACCTTTCCAGGGGTGGGGAGCAGCTGAGCCGCAGCAGAGGGCCCTGCCTGGACTGCTGGCACCTGCCTGCCACCAGCAGCCCGCAGCGGTGCCAGCCCGCCCAGAGTGGAGGAGCCCGGGGAAGGGTACCCCCGTGGCCTCCACACTCACCTCCGTCCCTCTAAGGAGTAGCTCCCTGACAAAGGGGAAGACTCCCAAAATGAGGTCTATTCCACTGTTATCTGCGAAAATTAAGGCACATTTATGAGGGGGCCCCTGTAAGACAAAACCAGGATGCTCAGTTGGGAACAGTACATCCACGTGCTGCAGACCCCACGTCCCCATGCCCCACAGTGCTGGCCAGGGCCTTGGTTCCAGCGTGCAGCAGGGCGGGTACAGGGCGGCCTGCCCCTTCCAGATGGCGCCCCAGGGACGTGTGCCTGAGGCCAGCTGGGCTGCCAAGTGGCCGCTACAGGAGGGCAGGGGGCTGTGGACACTGTGCTCCTGGCTGGGCACTGCCTGCTTCTGGGGCAGCTCCTCACCCACCTCCCAGCAGCCTGAAGCCCCTTGGGGACCAGTGCCTGGGCCCCTCCCTCCTGCCTGTCCCTCCTGGGCAAGGGCGGCACCCCCCTGTACCTTTAATCTCTGCAGCCACTTGCTGTAGGAATCCACAAGCCAGGGGCGCTCTGTGTGCAGAGGGAGAACCATGAGGCACGCAAGGGCCCGTCACCCCTGCTCACGCCTCGGGTGCGTGCCCCCACCCAGCCGCCATGCTTTCCATGGGTGACGTCCCCCACCCTGACGGCCCACATGGGACGCTGAGGACCTGCAGTGCTCATACCTTGTAGCTTCTTCTTTGCTTCTTCAAACCCGAATTGGGGGTCAGACTCAAGGACACTGCACAGAGGAGAAGGGAGGTCAGGCGGACACCCAAGGGGAGCCCCTCCTCCCCTGCAGCCCCTGACCCAGAGTGGCGCGACGGACGGGTGCTCAGGCCACGTCAGCTCTGAGTGGCTGGCAGCCCCAGGGGTGTGTACCACAGCCTGTGGGGAGGGCAGCCTAACGTACTCAGAACTGTGTACATGGCCCAGCTGCCAGAGAGACGGCATAAAGGTGTGGCAAGGACATCAGCCAGCGGTGCAGAAGGGATGAGGGGGCCCTGCCCAACCGCCCTACTGCTATGCGTGGGGAGCCCTGGGGGACAGGCATCTCCCTCTAGCCTGGGTGGGGTGGAACAGGCCAGAGCGTGAGGCCCACTCCTTAAGGTAAACTGCTGTGGAGAGCACTTATTCAGGTCTCCCCCAGACCAAGAAGCCCAGGAGAGGGCACCAAATGGGCCCAAGAAAGCCGCAGCCCGCGTGTCAGAGGGACCGGCCACACGGCACCTTTCCAGCGCCGACAGGATGCGCCGTGAAGCCCCAGCGTGTGCACTCTAACCTCGGGCCAGCGTGGGTCAGATCTGCAGGCCCAGGCCCCCAGGGTGCCTGTGCTCAGGGAAGGGTGGGCAGCGTTGGGATGAGCCACTGAGCTGGAGGGAACCGGGTCCGAGCAGCTGCGTGAGCAAGCAAGAGCCAGGCTGGGCACGGCTGGGACACCTACTCAGACACAGCCTTGGCCCCCCAGTCGAAGACGTTGCCAGCCAGCAGCCCCCTGGCCAGAGCCAGCTGCCTCTCCTCCCAGCCCAGCGCATCCAGGGCCTGGACCACACACTGGAAGCACTTGAGCGCAACACCATTCTCCTGCTGCTTCACCTGCAGATGCGGGACAAGGGAGCGAGAGGGACACTGCTGCCAGGACGCCCTCCGCGCCAGAGCCGAGGGGCGGGGCCACGCCACACAGCACGGAGCTCCCCGGCACAGCCCGGCCGAGCCGAGCACTGGGCTACCCCAGGTTAAGTGTGCCTGTCCCGGGCAGGGCCACACAGCAGTGCTCAGGGTGGGTCCCGGACACAGACAAGGGCAGAGGGCACAAGGTCCTGGACGGTGCTGCGTGCCCCAGGGCCTGGGCACTCAGACACACCGCATGGGCGGGAGGGGCTGCAGCGAGATCCCAGAGGTCCCAGGAGCAGCGCTGGGGCCAGGCTGCATCAAAGGTGCAGGGTGGCAAGGCTGCCTCCCAGGGAGAGGCCAGCTCTGACTCGCTGCTCATCTCCGGGCACCCAGCCGACACCACGCGGAGAGGGACAGAAGCCCTGGCGTGCTCGGTTCCCAGAGAAGTGCTGGGGTACACACGCAGGTGCACACACAAACCCCACGGGGTCTGATGTGCCCCCAGGCCAATGCCTGATGGGGCCAAGCCTCCTGAGGTGCCTGCCCCGACCCCACCGGCATGGAGCCACTGATGTGGGCTCCTCACAAACCTTCGGGCCGGGCAGGAGGGGACGCTGCTCACTGCCCTGCTCCT